CTATGGGATAATCCTAAGTTGGATCATGGAAAGGAAAGGGGTGGACATAAGCCGAACCGAAGTCAGGCCCATGAGTGGGATGGTCTTCAATGCCCAGAACCTTTGCCGCAACGACATCTATCATGTTGGAGTGGGACAGTAGATTACCCTCGAGGAGATTTGCTTGAAACCCCCGGCTGAACAAAGAATGTTAGTGGACCAATTGGGTATCTCGAACAAGAAAATGAAACGAGCAATGCAAGAAAACGAGGAACAAGAAGAGCAAGAAGAAGATAGTGAGCCAAGTCAACCGGAACCCGCGCAGGAAAGGGGGAATGCGGGGGACCGAGATGAGAGGTCTACCAACGAGCGTATCCTTGCGCAGCTCTTGAGACAAAATCGGATCATGGATGATGGATTCTAGTCCCTAATTCTCGCGACGAGCTCGTTGGACAGGAGAGTGGCAGCGATCGAGGCCATTCTTGGCGCATGAGGAGCTTCAAGCTCGGGAGCAGGAAACCAAGGTATACCTAAATCTCAATCCCCATTTACCTTCTGACTTGATCAATCCCCACCCTACACTTATTAGAAAACAAACATAACCTACATTTCCCTAATTTAAATATCAAACTGCATCATATCTAAGAACGAGGGGAGTGACCTGTGTCTAACCTTCGGGGATGAAGCTTCTTGTAGGGGGGGGGGGTGTAACACCCCATGTTACGGCCTCTGAATCCGGACTAATTATGTAATTAATTCTGTTAATGTATAATTAAAAAGGATTTAATTGGACTAGAATTCCCATTAATTAATTAGTGTGGTCTACAATGGATCATGGACCTTTATCCTCAATCAAGTCTTTAATTCTGTTAGGAATAGAGAAAGTGGGCCTTTACTATTCAGATTCTAGTTAGGACTCCTGAATCTATATATAGGAAATTAGAAGGTATTTAGAAACCCAACCACAATTAATTCTACCACGCGAGACATTCCCCGAGGAAACCTAGCAAAGGAATTCCCCACCACCGAACCTAGGAAGATCAATTGGAGGAGGATCTTAGAGAAGAACCTTAGTAGCCAAGGATATTGATTAGGGCTAAGAGGTAACCCATGTCTTACAAAACCTATTTTCCTTGCTATTGTTTATTGATTGGCTCCGATTGAATGATTGATTGTGTGATTTTGTATGTATATCTTGTTAGAGCATGTCTTTAGGTTTATACGATGAATTCTTGTTATTCTTGATGTTCTTGATGACCCTGTGTGGTTATTGGTCTGATCTTGTATTTAATTATGTCTAGAGCTTGTCCCTAGGGTTTATATCGTGAATCTCGTGTTGTGATGTTCTTGATGTTCTTGGGTGGGTTTATGCATGCTAGGGTGTTGATTCTAGTTTAGGACTTGTCGTTAGGGCTTTACATATAGATTTCTTGATGTTCTTGAGGTTCCGGATGCTCTTGAACCGTTATGTGATTGATGTCGAGTCTTGGCATGTTTAGGAATCGTGTTAGAATGTGATTGGGATGATTCTTGGTTCAATCTTTGTTAATCGTATCCGTGTTGTTGTTGATACGTGTTGGAATGTGTTTGGACATGGTTTTGGGGTCCACGAACGAACACCGAACCGGAGATCTACCTTCGTACCAGTGGGGGGTAAGTGGGGGGAACGAGTCCCCACCACCTACTCGCGACTGACTGCCCGATTCCAGCGGCCAACCAGCGGGTGCCCGCCGGGCACCCACTCGAATCATGACCTCCCACCGGCGGGTGGTCCTCCACCTGTCGCCCACCCGCTGGAAAGTGGTGACGCGGCGGGTCATTTTTCCCCATTTGTTTTTTCCCCGTGTCCCGTTGTGTCCCGTTGTACCTCGTTCGATGTTTAGGAGTCTCGTATGATGTTTTGAGTACCGTTTTAGGAATTTATGTGTAGTGTGTATCGTTGCGATTATACCTTGATTGTTATTGTTGATTATATGTTGTTTGATTGAATGATGATGGGTATTGTGATCATTGTGCAATGATGGTTGAGATCGATGATAATGAGATTGTTATTAGTGGAAATGAATTGTTGGCATATAGCACAACGAGTCCTCGGTTATCGTGCTAAAGGCACAGAACACCCCTTAGACTTGCTGGCTAAAGGCTTCGGTCGGGGTATAAGCGCCGCGGTGCCATGTCAGAGCTATATGTGCTGATCTGACCCCTTGGTAGTGGTGCTAGAGGCATGGATCATGCGAATGGCACTTCGGTGCTACCATGTTGGTGGACTTGTTGGTGGTATGTCGGTGGGGGCATGTAGTTGCCCGGAGGGATAAGGGAGGCGATATAAGGGTGGCCTGGAGGTACAGGTTGGAACTGATATAAGGATTGAGAGGAGTAAAGGTTGGAACTTGGTATAAGGTTGGAAGATGGATTGTGTGTTTTGATGATTACTTGCTAATTGATTGTCATTGGATCTCATTGTTGCCTTTAATTGCTATTTATGAGCTTACTTGTCTATTATGCCTTGTCTTGTGTTCTTAGGATGCATGCTAGTCTTTATGATTGTTCTATAGTGTCAAGTCTGTTGTTGTGTCTTCAGTCTTGATCTTGGTTTAAAGCTGGAGTTGCTTAGGTTATATATGTATTCCGGTTTCAAAATGATTTTCTTATATCTACCTATATTGTACTTAACGCGTGGGAGTGGGTTACCAGCATTATTCGCTGACGGTTGTTACACCGTATGTTTTTCAGGTACGGATCAGTAGCTTCAGATTGCGCCAGATGGACATGAGGACCTAACTTAGATAATTTAGTATTAGTTAGATGGCCTGTGAGCCTTGGATTGTATTATGGATATTAATTATTGTTTATGGTTGTTTAGTTAGTTTAGCATGTGCATTTAGGTTCTCAAACCTAGATGTGGCATAGCACCCCAATACTTATGTTGTTAGTTCCGCTTTGTTTGGATGAATAATGATAGATTTGCCTTTATTTCATAGGCTTTAAATGTTTTAAAAATTAGGGGTGTTACAATATATTCCAGAGTTCCTTCACTTTTGATTAGGGTCGGGAAAAGGCTTATCAAAATTATTTGCCTAACTCGTAGGGGATCTTGGGGAACAAGAGATCAAATTTTACCGATCAAAAAATTGAATTTTTACCATGATCGAGAAATCAAATTTTACCGATCAAGAGATCGAATTTTTACCACGATAGAGAGATAGAATCTTATCGATTATGAGATAGATTTGTACCGCGATCAAGAGATCAATTTTTTTACCACGATCAAGATATCATATTTTTAGCAAGATCAAGAGATTTGATTTCTAGCACGATCAGGAGATCGAATCTTACCGATCAAGAGACCAGATTTTACCATGATCAAGCTAAGAGATCGAATTTTATTATGATCAAGAGTTCAAATTTTACCAATTAAGATATCAGATTTTACATTGATCATGAGATCAAATTTTACTGATCAAGATATCAGATTTTACCACGAATTTCCAGGCTCGCGATACCGATGGTAGGTGGATCAATGATAGTTGTAGTATGTGTGAGATGAAAAGAAGGGTTGGGAAAGGTGAACCTTTCCCGAGATGTCACTAGCTGGCATGTCTAAACATACAGCACGGTTGGGCGACCAACCCCGGCAATCTGTGCGTCCCCAATCGAATGCCTTAAGGGGATTCAGATGGGCGACCAGGCTCCACGGGCGGAGTGTCCCCGACCGGTCACTACTCAGGAATCTAGCCGAGTGACCAGGCTCGACGGTCAGTACGTTCCCGCTCGAGTAACGCGACCCCCGCGAATCATCTCCTGGGCGATCGGGATTCCCGGACTGAGTGCTCCCCAGAGGCGGTTATGGGCAAGCTCCATGGAGATCTACTTTCCTCATTTAATACCAGTAACTTCCTTTATTATGTATCAAACGGGAATATATGTACAATCTCTGGATATGAGAAGTCCTATAATTCTCTACGAGAAGTATGCATATTGGGAGTATGCCAAATTCGAGTATGCTGAACTGGAAGTATGCTGAATTGTCCGAGTTCCTTGCTGAAGGGCCTCCGGGGTTAAGTAGCTCGTTCTTCAAAGAAGGGCTTATATGCAACTTGATCTTCAAAGAAGGGCTTCCGTTACTCAAATGGCGTGTTCCTCAGCGCAGATATATGGCGGGCGTGTTCCAAACGATATCCTGACGAGATTCCGATAGAGTTTCGATATTGCGGATCTTTAGAGCTCCCTTTCTTCTAAAATGAAATCACTATTTAAATATTTGAATTAAATATGAGAAATGTATTGGGACACGATCACGTCCAGGTTCACGATTCCATCCAATTTCAAATAATATCCAATTATCCAAAATTATTCCAAATTATATAATCAAACATATAATTTTGATGGCTCAGAATCAAGTCAAACTCGCTAATTAGGTAGCCCAATTAATGCAAATGGCATATGGTTCAACTCAATATTTGACAAATTAAATAAATACATGTCTTTTCTCACCCCTACTGAAGCACAAAGACTTTCCCTATGGAAGAGCAACTTGATGTCACTAGATCACAAGATCATTGTCAATAAATACTTGTCTAATTAACCTAATTAAAATAATTAATTTAATAATCAATTATCCACTACGGCCGAATAAGATCATTTAAATTTTGAATGATTACAAAGAGATAGTAAAGAATATGCTCCAACCAACTGCTAAACTCTTGACAAGATGGTGTGATGATAAATAGCCCGCATATTATGAATGGAGAGGTATTTCATTCGGAAATGGATATATGCATTCCACCACACAAGCTCAGGTACTCTAAACGCTTACACGGCCATTATAGGAGTCAAAACTTTCCATACCTAATAAATACAAATTTTGTATTTGTAATATTCTAATAATTTTAATGACATAATAATGTTGAATATATACGAAACAAAAGCACCTTCCTTTTTCTTGTCGTTAACTCCTATCAAATCAGCAGGGCATTACCCGGCCGGCCAGCTGCAGCTCCTACACGCTACATCCACTGCTTAGTTTATACGGTTCGCCAACGTTAGTTTCCTTTACTAATTTTCCTGTGATCTGATCTTCCAAAGCCAATAACAGATCCATTGAATTGCCATTCCGGCCGGCCGATAAAATGAGCTCCGATGACGACGATGATCTTGAACGCGGCTTGGGTTTCCGTCTGCATGAACACACCAACAACCCTTCTGGGCCCCAGTCCGCTCGGGCCGGCGTGTTCCGGATACACACCGCAGTCGCCGGCTTCCGCCGCCTTGTCAACACCATTGGAACCCCCAACGACAACCTTCATCTCCGTCAGAGGCTGTACGTAATTTCAATTTTTCATTCTCCACTTTCCATTATTCTACAAGTAAACTCCATCAAGTTGTTTTGTTTCTCCAATTTTCTATTTTTCTATAGAGAAATTTTTCGGTTAATAAAATTAAAGCTTATGTAAAACTGTACAAGTTGATGAATTGTATTGTGTAGATAGATATTGGTGCACCGTAATACATATGGAGTGTTTGACAAATGGGTGATAGCGGATAACTCATTAAGTTAGCAGACACTAATAGTTAATTGGGTTAGCTGGTTTGACTAGTTAATAATATTAGCTGATTGTAAAAAGAAAAAAATAATAATTTTGTAAACTTTTACATGGTATTTGGTTGGAAGGAAGGAATTTAGGGGGAAATGTATTATAATTCGATGGGAAAATAATAAGATAGGAATTAAAATTACATTGTTTGGTATGGAGGAATAGAATTATTCGGAATGGAAATGAGAGAAATGATATAAAGACTAAAATGCCCTTATATAATAATATTAATAATAACATTCACGGACAAATATGTTATTTCCTTCCTTTTCCTTTTTCTTTGTATGGATGAATTGCAATTCATATGGGGGACCTATGAATTGAGGGCGATTCCTCCAACCAAACAATGTAATTTATCATTTCATTGAATTGCAATTCATGCCAACCAAACACCCCAACTCATTGAATGTAAAATGAAATATATTGTGCTAATTTATTAATTCTTAAATTAATTTTACAATTTTTATTCATTTATTGATTGATTGATTATTATGATTATGATTATGATTATTATATTACAAGGATGAGTGAAATAAACAAGAAAACTAAACATTATTATTGTTGTTACTGAACCAAAAAGAAAAAAGGGCAATGAACAACGAGAAATATAAATGTTAGGGTTGATAAGCCTAAAATGGTCATTTAATAATTAAAGTCAATCAGTTAACCAAAAACTCTACTTTTCTTAACTAAAGCTAATATAAATCATTTTACCGAACACTTAAAAGTAGCTAATTAACTAATCAAATCAGCTAAATTTAGTAAAACTAGCGAAAATTGACTTATCAACTCTATTACCAAACAGGCCAGTCTTCAGTACTTTATATTTATTTATTTATTTATATAGCTCAGTGTTGAGATATTGGTGTAATTTGGTGTGCCCACAGGCAGAGTAGCAGGGTGCAAATTGGGCAGTTAGTGAAGGAAACTTCAGCCAAGCTGAAGCCTGTTGGTGATAAGCATGAACAGAACCAGCCTGTAAATACATTGAGAAAATATAATTTGAGTTAGTTATTTAATTTCTGCTAATTTTCATTTATCATGTTAATAGCTAGCTAAGCTAGCTGGTGAATGTACAGTTGATGTGCCGCCGTGACTTAGGTGTTGAAGACATACTTTCAACTTCAGCCGCCTGTGGAGGAAATCGCCAATAATGCTAAGCTTGCAAAAGATGTTCAATCAATTCTGAGAGACTTCCAAAAGGCTCATCATCATCTACTCACAGCAGAGAAAGACACCATTATTTTGTCTCCCAACAATAATAATAATATTAATGTTGGACAAACTTCCAGCTTCATGGAATCTATGAGGTACTAACCTATCTTCTGTACATTGCATGATGTTGTATAGTTTAATAGTCTTAAAATTAGTGTTGCAGAAAGCGCTAGGCGCTCGGAGGGTGCTTAGTGCCTAAGCAGCGCCTAGGCGGCCTACTAATCCGAGTATATGGTTTCCACTTTTTCCACTCAGGGCTAAGAGTTGTTAGAAGGTTACAATCCCTCAAATTGGTCAACTGCATATATTAGATAGTTAGTTGAATACATAGCTGGAAAAATATAGAAGACCAGTATTTGAGTAGGCAAAAACAATACTCGGCCAAGTTGAGCACCAACTCGGCCGAGGTCGAGTTAGGCGCTCAACTCAGCCGAGTCGGCACCTAGAGTGCCTAGTCGGCCGATTAGTCAATCAACCAACTAAAAGTCTCCTAGGGTTGAAATCGCCTCGGCCTAGGGGCGCCTAGTGCCTAGGCCGATTTTTACAACACTGGATTTAAAATTAAAGGAGGAGGAACCATCCAGAGGCAAGTAGAAGTCATATATGGAGCTTGCACGAGTTTAGCTCACTAGTAAGCACTAAGCAGTATTTTGGAGAAAGATCAAAGTTTAAAATTAGGCAGCGAGAGTGTGGCGGGCAGATCTCTTGTGCGCGTCAGCATTTAGCCTGTCTAATCTGCTCAGCCACTCAGTTACTATGATTTACATCTTCTCACATGCTCTATTGGATTGAAGTGTGGGGGTGCTGAGATTTGGGATTCAATCGTTTGGGAGAAGAAGTGATACATGGCCCGAATACATTATATTCAGGGCCGGCCCAGAGGGGTGGGCGGGCACCCGCCCAGGGCCTAATGTTGAAAGGGGCCCCCTAACTTGGATTTTTATTTTTTTGATAAAGCTAAAGAAAAAAATTTATTGTATAAGCAAAGATTTGAACCCACAACTTCAAAATTATTATTTAATATTAAATCGGGTTAACCATTACAATCATTTAATATAATAATTCAATTAATTGATACTCCGTGTATATATTAGAGAATGTTAAATTAATTTATTACTTAAGGATTAGTCCAATTGATTTTTTAAAAAATAAAGTCTTAAAAAAATTATATGTCGATAAAAATTCAAAATTATCATTGAATTATTTTCAATTAACACAATCTTTTGAACTATATATATAAACATTTTAACTTTATATCAGTGTTGCAAAAATCGCGCCTAGGCGCCGATTAATCGGATCGGCACCTAGGCGCTAGGCGATCGGCCTCCTAGGCGCCCGCCTAGGCACTCTAGGCGACCTAGGCGGTCCCCAAGCGTCTAGCGATTTTTTCAACATTGCTTTATATATTAAGGTCCCTTGTGTTTACTTTGCCCCGGGCCTATAAAATGATAGGACCAGTCCTGATTATATTATATTGTTAATTATATTGCAGACAGGAAGTCATTCTCCAGCTGGAAAATGATGAGATTGATTTACATGATGAGTCGATGTCCATGTTTGAAGAAAGAGAAGAAGCTGGGATGAAGGAAATTGAGGAGCAGATCAATGAAGTAAATGAGATATTCAGGGATTTAGCAGACCAGCTGGTTCATGAACAACAAGGAATCGCAATTGGTTAGCATCATCACATCACATTTTTCTCTATAACTTTCTTTAATTTATAATAACTTGGCCTAAATCGTTCTTCTTTCAGAGGGCATCGTTCCAAATACTGAGATCTGCAACACCGCAATCACAGCACAAGCCACTTCCCAACTAGCAAAGGCATCAAGAAACCACACCTCTGAATCATCTATGGTACATAAATGTCATTTCATGGCAGCAATAATGCAAGCTAATTAACTGTTTGTTGAGCATATATATATCCCTGTTTGGTAAATGGATGTTAGCTGTTAGCTGATTGTGTTAATTAAAAGGTATAACTAGTAGATAACATTAACTGTTGTAGAAAAGTGTTTGGTAAATTAACTGTTAGCTGATAGCTGTTTGATATAATTTCTTTTCTGAAAAAGCTAATTAAAAAGTTGTTTGGAGTAACTTTTTGAATTTTAGCATTTTTGAGTTGTAAAAAGCTAATTAACCAAACACTTATATTGATATTTTAACTAAATCAAACAATTAATAGTGGTCAAATAAACTAAAATTGACTTATAGATCTATTTTTTTACCAAACAGGGCCATATATATATATATATATATATATATATATATATATATATATATATATATATATATATATATATAGTCTTTTGGGTAGAAGCTGGTAAAAGACCAAGTCCATTAATTGGTAGTTAGGGATTCTTGGGGAGAGGCAGTAAAGGGCCAAGCCTAGCACCCTGCTTCTCTGCCTCTCGAAAATGTAATAGCTATGAAGTCTAGCTATATAGCTTTTGCATAGTGGTAAGCGATTGATCCTAACACAGTTCAAGTGTCCAACTATCAATTGAGGCATGTGCACATCCTTCAATTTGGTATAAGAGCTAACTCCATGTAGTAATGGGAACCCATGCAAAAGGTCATGAAAGCTTAGGCTTTTAGTTGATACAAAACACATTCTTCAATTTGGTATCAAAGTCAATCCCGAAAAGGTCATGGCAGTGTTGAGACGGAACACATCATTAAATTGTGTTTACTAGCAACCTTCTCCTACTTGGATGATCTTGTTTGGAGATTGACACTAACTTATTATTACTCTTGCAGACTTGCCTGTCACTGGTGATCTTTGGGGTTATCCTGCTTATTGTACTCATACTACTTGCAGCATAATGAAGCAGGTTTAAAAGCACTTACTACATTCTGCAGAAACCTGAAGGGGTTAATTCATCAAATTGTCTTCACTTTCTTATGTAAAACACCCTGAATGTAAAGTCATCAATACATGTATATATGCAGCTAGCTAGCTAGATCATTAAGTATTAGGGACCCTCTGCCTCATATAGAGCTGTGATATATACATTACAAAGCCAAAGTCCTCTCTTCTTCAGGGCATAGGTTATGTTGGGACAAACTCAAATTTATTTTTATCTACTTTATGTTGAAATATAGAGTGAAAATTCGAACTATGATTTACTATCGGACAGAGTGTAATATATGTTTTAGTTTAAAGGCAATTGCAATAGTAGTTTTTGCTCAGTTTTTTAGGAAGAAAAAAATTAAGAATTGATTTTTATCTAATGAGAAGGGAGTTTTTTGGCTACATTTTTCCCCTGTAAACATGGACCCACCCCACTCTCACCCCATATATAATAGTTGTATGTATATATGTATATATAGTACAAGTTTTAGTATTAGTATAAAGAAACAGATAAATGATAATAAGAAGTGAGATAGATTATTAGTTGGCAGAGCATGTGTTTGGTTATTATAGTGGAGGGCTAGAGTTTGAAACCTTAAACACACACACACACACACACACACACACACACACACACACACACACACACACACATATATATATATATATATATATATATATATATATATATACATAATAAGTCTCAGTCAAAGTTATACCCCTCATTTATGTCCATGTTTTTAATGCTAAACATTTTGTACATTGTACTTTTAGAGTTGTACTATACAATTTTTTGGACAAAAATACCCTTACCCCGTTATAACTTTCGTTATCTTTCCCATTACTTTTACCATGCACATGCATCTACCATATCTTTTCTATTCTTTAATTATAACAATATTTGTAAAACATTATATATTCATTATATATTAGATTAATATAATAAATAAATTTTATTTCACTTAGATTATAATTAGTAAACATTTGTTAGTTATTTTTAAAAATATAAATATTGGACATATGTTTTTGTGCATCGCGCATAGAAAAGACTAATATATATATATATATATATATATATATATATATATATATATATATATATATATATAACATTCTTTTATCTTAAAAATGAGATGTGTAATTTATAATGTGTTCTCTATTCAAATTATTTTATCAAATTAATTATGTTTCATATTTTGTTATGAATATTTTTAGTAAAATTTCTATGTATTTTATTTTTCTCCCATATCCAACAATATTTATACTTATAACTTTTTGGGTAAATTTTTTTTTAAAATTATCTCTTTTGTTTTAATATTTTGCCTTCACTCGAAAAAATTGATGGATCCATCATCCATCCCTGCTTCTTCGTCCCTCTCAACAAAATTTGTAGCTCCGTCCCTGCTTGTAAATATGATTTTTGAAGGAAAAGGGAAAAGTTGAGTAGATTAGTGCACATGTGTAGCAATATGCGTGCCCAGAAAGTGTGTGCAATGCACGCGTCTTTGGGCGCATAATGCCTTCAATTATTATTTTTGTCAGAATTTATTATTATTATTTTTTCACTTGTTTCTCTCTTTTACATAGCCGGCATGAAATCCACAAAAATCTACAACTATATCGTTGCTCTAATACTTAAACAGTTAAACTTAAATTAATCATCTAACTTACACCTACTCTGATTTGATCTCCATATCTACCAACTCACAATCTTTCTTTTCATCTAATCTTTTTATATTTTGATTATTTCGAGTAAATGAATCTTTGAAAATTCACCTAAAAAGGAGTTTCAAAACAATGTAAAATTGAATTAATTGATTTTTCAATTTTGATTAATAATAGAATTGAATTTTTATTATTTTTATTTATTTGTTTTTAGAAAATGACATTTTTTTTTTCAAAGTACTCGAAGTCATATGTGAAACCAGTAGCCTTACTCAAAATATGGACTATCTGATTATCTAACCTCCAAACATGAAACATGCATCATAAAAATGTTACCAACATCATTAATCAAAAGAGTTAATTCCAAAAATGTCCTCCGATTATCGTATTTTTTCAAATTGGTTCATTGACTTTTAATTACACCTAAAGTGATCCTCCGACTATTAAATTTTAAGCCAAAATGGTCTTCTATTAATTTTGGCATGAAGTAGGTCTTAAAAATAAGGGTAAATGGGTAATTCAAATTTTGCACTCCAATTTAATGAATTTTCGACTCCCTTTCAAACCGACTTCCTCTGTGTTGAGCATATAATATAACATAAATATAAATGTGCAATCTAACTATAAGCTTAGGCTTTTAGTTGGGATGGAGTACATGCCTCAATTTGGTATCAGAGCAAGCACATGTTTCAATTCTCTCAATGTGAAATCATTAAATTGGAGTGCAAAAAAACCTTAATTACTCAGTTTACCATTCATTTTAACACCTACTTCACGCCAAACTAATGGATGACCATTTTAGCTTAAAATTCAAAAGTCGGATGACCACTTTAATTTGGGTGCAATTAAAAGTCAAGGAACCAATTTAAGAAAAGGATAACTCTTAATCAAATTAATACTTCATCCATCTCATTTTATGTGTCTGATTCAGTTAACGAGGCTTGACTAAAATTATTTATAATTCAATTTTTTATAATGTTAAATTTAGTATTTGTATGTAAAAATTTATATATTTAGAAATTACATTAAAGTTACTATTAAATTCAAAAATAAAAAAATTAAAATATTGAATAAAATAAACAAAGAAAAAAGAATTAATTTTATCAATTAATAGTAAATAAGATGTTATCTATCTTTTACTATCAAACTAACATATGAATAATCAAAGTTATCACGGTTGATGCATTGAACCAGATTAAGACAATCGAATTGAAATGCTTCAGAATTAATCAAACTATTATAAACACACACACGTAATCAATTAGGTTAGGTCAGAGTGTAATAAAGTTACACTGATTTTTTTTTTTTGTTTTTTTTTTGTTTTTGTTTTTTGAAAAGAAAGATTAGCAAATTTTATTAAACCAAATGTTCAACACATGAAGGAATAGAAGACAATAAAAAAGAAGACTAGATTAAGAACGAGTAGCTCAGACTAATTTAAATAATCAAAGTTTAATGTTTAACTTAATTAAAAATCGAAGCTCAAGCTTGATCGAACTCTAATTTTTTTGAACTGAAACCAAAAAATGAGTACCCATCCAGCTAAATTTTTTACAATTAACGTAATTAATCATTTCAAATGTTCTAATTATAATTCATTCAAATGACTTTTTAAAAGATCGTTTCTGACCCATGTAATTAGTTGGGTTACTCTTATCTGACAAAAGTTCAATAATTGTGAATATGAAGTTCAATAATTATGAACATAAAATTTTAAAATTATGAATATAGAGTTTAATAACTATGAATATAAAATCGTGTCCATCTTGCAACTTCATATGTAAAGTGGACACGATTTCACAACATAACAATTGCTCTTTATCTCTTGCTTAACTCTCAATTCTTCGTTTCTCTTTCAAAAAAAAAAAAAAAAAAAAAAACACTTGGATTTCTTGTCAGCCCACCGAACTCGTTCATGAACCGGTACGTGTCACTGAGTGAAGATATCCGAGTTGAATCGTTGACGGCAAGAAAGACCAAGAAGAAGCCCGAAAACAAAGTGGTATCCGATTCCCTGTCGCGTTGTTTTGTTCCCAACTTCCGACGTTGATTCGATTCTCAGTCGAATACTTGTGTCCCTCCCCAACCCTTTCGTATATCTCTAATCTCCTCTTTCCCCCTTTCTCTTCTTACCATTTTTGTTTCTTCGTCTTGGAATCCAAACATCTTTTTCAACTATATCGCCTTAATTTGTCCGCCACCACAGGTATTCCCCTATGTTTCTTATCTTCATTTAATATGATACATATTAATTTATTATTTATACTATGATCTCATGTTCTTTTCAATCCCAAAGATCACGAAATCTTTTCTTTTCTGGGTACCTGACAAGCTAGTTTCCTATCTATCTACTATTTTACCCGTAGGATTTGCTGCGAATAGGATCTAGTTGCACTCTATCTGTTTGAAATAATGGCTGAACCGCTACAAGTAGTTTGTTTACAAGGATGGGATGTGCTGGAATTTTCTTTCAAATGTTAGAATCTTTGTGGTTAAATCCTAAATGCTATTCCGTTTATGTAGAACAAGTTTTAGATTGAATGCTGGCTGTATTTAGCAATTAATTTTGATTTGTGTCCACTCGAAGTTGGATATTTGGTCAACAGATTTAAGGTAAAGGTTAACTTTTAGATGGCACAGCCTAATTAGCAGTTGTTGATTTGTCTGTGTAGGATGCTTGGGTCTATCCCTACTTTCTTCACTTTAGATTACTAATGTTCACACTCAGAATCTAAACTCAATTAGTCAATTTTCACTTTGAATGTACCAAACATTCATGTTTGCAGATTTTCACTCTGGATGAACTAATGTTCATGTTTTACTCCATGATGTTCTGTAAATCAAGTCCTTAGCTCCGTCAACAAATATGCTAACTTCCAATGCACAAGTTTTCATTTGGATATGATTACCATAAAGGGTTTATCTTTGCATTTATGTCTACAAGTTACTGATGCATAAAGAGATGTTAAGATTAAATTCTCTTCTTTAGCATTCATGAAGGATCCAGTGTGAGTACCAAGAGCAACTGATTACTTGAAACACAACTTTTAATTCTTGCAAACTAGACACTGTATTATAGTATTTGTACTCAGAAGAACTTATGCTGCCTTTTCCTGAATGTGTGGCATCCTATTTGTGTTAAAAGTGTGATATCTTGTTTGCAGTGAATTGTTACTCTTTCTCATCTTTTTCCACGAGGCTTAGTATTCCTGTCTCTTTACGTGCGTAAAGGAACTTGTGAAAAGCGAAATACTTTTCCAGTTTTCTGGAGATTGAATGGCTGTTGGCTGATGTTGCATAGATGGAGAGGAAATTTCTTCTTCGAGATATAAACATTCATTATATCTTTGCTGGGGATTGATGCTAAGTTCTTCAATGGTAAACGTCAAAACCTCCCATCGTCCAATCATATCATTTAGACCTATACGACCTTCTGATTTAGAAGTTCTTGAGAAACTTCATGGTGATCTGTTCCCTATCAGGTTAGGTGATCACTGATTGTGCCTTGATTATTTCTTCTTGTCACTCTACTGCATGGTTACAAATTCTAAAGATGGTGTTTGTCTTTTGATGAAAATGGGATAATTTGGTATATTAGGTATGAATCTGAGTTTTTCCAGAATGTTGTAAATGGCCGTGACATTGTATCTTGGGGAGCTGTTGATTGCAATAGGCCTAATGGTCAGAGTGATGAACTTATTGGATTTGTTACTGCACGAACTATCATGGCAAAAGAAAGTGAGGTGAGCTTCTTGTATATTCTTCAAGTAATTGGATCTTGTATTCTTCTCTCTTCGCTGTGACTGAGATTTCTGTGTAGGTAGAGGATTTGATCAGGTTTGACCCATCAATGCCCGACCAGACACTAGTTTACATATTGACACTGGGAGTCTTAGAACCTTATAGAAACCTTGGAGTAGGTGAGATTTGGTTTAGTTCATAGTATGATAAATACTTTGAAAAGGTGCCAGTTATTAATGGATGTTCTCTGGTTTTGGAATTTCAGCCAGTTCTCTAATCCGTGAGGTCATAAAATACGCCTCATGCATCCCGACTTGCCAAGCAGTTTATCTACACGTGATCTCCTACAACAATCCAGCCATCTATTTGTATCAGAAAATGTCATTTCAGTGTGTACGGAGACTGCATTCTTTTTATCTGATAAATGGCCAGCATTATGATGCATACTTGTTTATATACTATGTGAACCGTGGCCGTTCTCCTTGCTCACCCTTGTAAGTAGACTTATTTGAATTCATGTTACAAAAACTTTACCAAAAACCCATTTGATTTTTTATTGACATAAATATTTTGATGGTACTGCCCTTGGACTTTAGGTTAGATATGAAAGGTTCGATTCCCCAACCCCTCAGTTGTAACAAAAAAAAATATCTTGATGATAAAAGGATAGTGTTTGTTGGTTGTAAAGAAACCATACCTGTGTCACTATGTGCTTCTGCACAGCTGGTAGGTCCCATTAGTAGATTAAGCAACTGAACCATTATCTAGTTGCCAAACCCGTATTGAGCCTGTTCTGAAAAAGTCACCAATAGGGTTTCGGGTGCATGGAGCCCCGAAATATGATAACAGATAAACTCAGAATGGCACCAACCTAAGTAGAAGGCTTCCATAAGTTTTGAGCCCGTTCCAAAAAAGTCACCGATAGGGTTTTCGGGTGCATTTGGCACCCAACTATGGCAACAAAAGAACTCCGAATGGTACCAAAGACTTAGCCAACATGTTTATAGCAAAATTATAAAGATTCCTGTACTAGATTGAAGCAACTAATAACTCAACTAACCATTTTTACTATTATTATGGTTTGAACTTGAGCTAGGATTTATAGCACGATCAAGGAAATAAGCTGTTAGAGAAAAGAACAAGGAGGTATTTTGATTGACTAGAAACTAAAGAAAAGAAATAGGAAGTCACAAGACTTTCCCCAACAAGAGTTTTAGGCTCTTGCCCTACAAGAGTTTTAGGCTCTTGCCTAGCTACTAAAGCTTAAAGACTAAGGAAGATTATTGGATGCCCTCCTCTCTTGAGGAGGTTACAATTTATAATGCAATGCAGAAAATAAATATAGTAAATTTAAGCTTGTCCCTTGATCAATGTGTTGATTGTTTGATTTGCTGTCCAGATTTCTTGCTTTCCAATCTTGTGTTGATTCCCTTTTTTTGCGTGAGTAAACCACCCATTCCCTTGGGTGTGTATCATAAGCGAAGTGTCTTAGTGACATTAAACTCTTGGTTATGTTGGTTTTACATTACTGATTAAATCATATATGGTGCTTTTATTTGCAGAGAGGTTCTTACTCTTTTGGTTACTTATGCAAAGAGTGGATTCAAGTCAATGACTGCAAAACTATGGAAACATGAAGAAAGAAAGACTCCCAAGTGGCCCAAAACTAAGGAATCGGGTTGCCTTCTCCCTACAACACAGAACAAGAGGACACACAACTGAAACTTGAAACTACACCAACTTGATTTGTTTAGGCTTATGTATACATCTTCGGGCGATTGTGTGAGGAGCGGATCAAAGTGTGAAAAAACAATACCGTTCTCTGTTGTTATTATTATTAGGCTTAATCTTGATCAAGCTTGAAGGAGGAAAAGAAATGTTGTCATGTTTCATACCTCTAACAGAGGCCTGTATGTGTCTTGCAGAGATATTACCTGATATATATAAAAAAATATATACGTATAGATGTGAATCTTATTAAAATTGTATGTACAGTACATTCTGTCTATTTTGTGGTTAAGTTAAAACCATGATACCTATGTAGCATAACTACAGAGATGTTTTTAGATTTTTAAAATGATGAATTTTAATAGATTTTAAACGACGTTTACAAAATCTCTGAAGACTTTTGTAGTTTTTGTATGAATCTATAAAAATCTATGACAAATTTTTATGGATATTTACATTTAAAAAAGTTTACAAATATTCTTAAAATTTTAAATTGAATATACCCTTAGTAAAGTTCACTAACTTCTATTGATACTTATTAGATGTTTTATTTTATATAATATTTTTTTTTTCGTTTTTAGTCCATCGACTATATAACCTTTTCAAATTATGTCTTTGACTATCAAGATTTTCAATTTTAATGTAAGACTATTCATTTTTTTTCACATTTGATTCCTCTTCTATTCAATTTAATAGCTAACTTAAGCTGAAAAATACATATCGAAAAGTAAAAACAAGGCCAATCAAGTTGAAAATAACTACCTAGAAAAGTTGTTCTATGCTTTTTCCCGGCTTAGTTTGGCAAATCGGGTGGACTTTTTCAAAACTCACCCCCACCCCCACCCCCACCCCCACCCCCACCCCGCATCTGGTGGACTTTTTCAAAACTCACCCCCACCCTCACCGGGTGCGGGTACCCACTACGGGTATCCATCACTTATCATTTTTTTTTGTTTTTTTTTTTTTTTTTCAAAAAATAATATTTAAATTACTTATATATAATAAAATAATAAAATTCATTACTTATACTAAAACATAAAATAATAGAAATATTCAAATATAATAACTACATTGTTAATTTTTAAAAATAAATTTAGTAGTTTAGATATAAAAATAATAAAAAGTTATCCAAAGTTATTGAAACTTTTATAATTAACTATATACTAGTACTACTTATTTTTACTATATATATATATATATATATATATATATATATATATATATATAGGCGAGTTCAGGTGCGGCGATTTCTTACGGTGCGGCAACACCAATAGTTCAACAAATATGCACCATCAACGTTAGGAAAATACACCACAAAAAACAAAGTAAACAGAGCCCTGCATCACCAAACACACACCATTATGTGTGAGTAAAAACACCATACACTGTTCAGAAATACACAATTGGGGGTGGTGAGTTATATGGTGTATTTTTTTTTTTTTAGTCTGTTGTGTATTTTGTGATGTTTTATTGCATTTCATTGTGGTGTGTTTTTCTTACACTGTTGGTGCATATTGTTAACACTGTTGATGTATTCTGGAATTCCGCCGCACCGCCGCATGGGAAGACCCCGCCGCATTTGAACTTTATATATATATACTAGTTTTTTACGCGCATTGCGCGATTGAGATAATGCCCAATATTTTTTTTTTAATAAGTACTTTAAAGTATATCAAGGTAAAATTATATTGGAATTGTTCATGCATAGATAATTGAATGTTAAATTTGCATATTTAAATAGGCAATTTTAAATTTATAAATGCAAGATAATATAGTCAAGATTGATTATAATTGTCAATAAAATAATTGTATAGGTATGGTTGAAACCAAATACGGGACATAAGGAGAGCAAATAAAAATTAGGGCATAAAATATTAAATATATACTAATATTGAAGAGCTAACTGCTGATGGCCAAACAAGGATATTGCGAGATAGTTTCTCACTTCAATTTGTTGTGTGATTTGAATACTCATTTTGTCAATATTTCCCCCAAGTAGTTACTATGATTGGCTTTTTTTTTTTTTTTTTTTTGAATGCAGTTACTATGATTGGCTTAATTATATATATATTTTTTTAATTTTTTATTTTTAAAAACAATTATTATTATTATTATTATTATTATTATTATTATTATTATTATTATTATTATTATTATTATTATTATTATTATTATTATTATTATATGTATACCCTTAGGTCATTTTACATGTTAATCTAAACAGTTAATTTTTTCAAATATCTTTTTACCAACCGTTGATATAATTCTTTGGTCAAATTCTCTAATATAATCCGATAACGCTAACCGCTAACTGCTGATTGTCAAACAAGGACGTTGCGAGGTAGTTCTCACTTCAATTTGTTGTGTGATTTGAATACTCTCTTTGTCAACAAATCCCTTAAGTAGTTAATATGATTGGCTTTATTAATTATACTTTTTAAATTTTTTCATGGTATTAATAAAATACTTGGTAAATAAATATATAGCATTATTTTGTATTATAACTTCGATATTTAATTAAAAAATAGTGTACAAAAAAAGATAATAGACAATGTAGTGAATATAATCAATTGATAAATTTGAATGTAAAGAATTTTTACATTGGAGAAATATAAAGACAATATAACTAATAAAATTATTTCTCTTAATTAATTTATTGATAATGAATAAATTTTTTTAATAAAGACATTGTAGGGACAATGTAGCGAATATAATCAATTGATGAATTTGAATGCAAAGAATTTTTATATTTGAGAAAAATAAATACAATATAACTAATGAAATTATTTCTTTTATTTAATTTATTGATAATGAATAATTTTTTTGAATAAAGACATTGTAGACACATAATTCTAAATTAAAGAAATGCATATGTATTATTTTCTGTTGTAGCTACTACATTATTATTTTACTTTAATAAGAGTAAAATAGAGTACTAATTATGCCAACTTTGATTGGGATGAGTTTCGAACCCAAGACCTTTCTTATTGAAATCAATGAGTAAGTTAACGGTGAACTAACAGAAATTAACAGAAAAGATAATATTTAACGGAAAAGTTAACGGATAATCATATTCATTAAGGATAAATTAGGAAATCTTAAGAAAAAAATTAAAATCTAATCAATCTGAACCATTCATTTGATTAAAAAATTTGACCGCCATTTTTTTACCCATTATAGACCTAAATCTCTTGGGCTCTTATTAGTATAGTATATATATATATATATATATATATATATATATATATAGGGTGGGTCTGGTGGAGTTCTAGGAGGATTTTATACATAAAACCCAAATCCAACCCGACCCATTGCAGATTTACTTTTTAAAGACCCACCACGTCCCACCACCCACTATCACTCAAAGAAAACCTGATCCCTGCAGGGTGGATATCCGCAGGGCGGATTGAAATTGTCTCCCTAGGTGTATTGCATATTGGTGCAATCGTTTCTCTTACCGTCCGTTTAAATATTGGTTGGTATTGTACGTGGTTTGAATTCACCGTTTCTGGTCCCCCAAACATATATGCCGGTTGCATCGAATTAAGTTAACAAATTCTTTGTTTTTTTTTTTTTTTTTTTTTTTTTTTTTTTTTTTTTTGCATTACCTTGTCATTTTTGTTTACTGTTTAATGCGCATAGAACTATCTGACTAGTTAATTGCTTAACCAGAATGTAAAATAGAGAATAAAACATTTAATTACGAATAACTGAAGTATTCTAGTAATATTTAACGAATAGTGAAATCTCATGTGATTTGGGCATTTTCATTTCTCAAGTTTAAATTATCTAGCAAGAAAGAAGTTTGTTTCTGATTTACCTGTTGTGAATATTCATGATTTATTATAAGTAGAATTTGCCCCTATATGTATTATAAGCAGAATTGCAACCCTGATTGTCACCTTGTCGATGGTATTGTCATCCTTGACTCTGATTTGAATGTTATTGCCACCCTTGACCCTGCTTCCAATTTTGATTGGTATTACCAGAGGAATTGAAGTTTTGAGGTCTTTGCTACCCAACCGCACCCATTTGTTCACAACTGGGATCCTCATAACAAGAAGTGCACTCATGTGTCCCATGGGGTCCCCCGCATGTATCACAGTAAAGGGCTAATGACATACACGGGTTTCCCTCTTGTGGTTGTTTACCCATTTTCTCAATCTTGGCTTAGAGTCGCATGATTTCATGTCCCATTGCTTCCACTCTTGCATCAGAAGCTATACTGCCACTCACTTCTTATAAACCAGACTTGGTATCCCGTTTTGTTATACCAACAAGATTTGTTGGCAGAAATAGTCTCAATCAACTTCTCAGCATCTTCTGGCAATGAGGACACAAATGCTCCTTTTGAAGAAGAATCCAAAAGCATCTTACTTTCGTCATTTAGTCCTTCGTAGAAGGAACTAATGATGTCCCAAGGATGAAGTACATCTGGTGGGCATTGACGTTTCAGTGCTTTGAATCTCCTATAGGCTTCCCCTAATGATTTCATAGTCCCTTGCTTAAAGTCCTGGACTTGCTTTCTGATTTTCAAAGTCTTGGTTAAGGGGGAAAACTCCTAGATGAATTCCCTATGTAGTTGTTCCCCTGACCTGAAATGATTATTTGCATGGGAGTCCAACTAACGAACTGCATCCCCAATCACTGGAAACGGAAACAACTTGAGTCGAACTACCTCTTCAGGTACCCAATTTTGTCTATACATTCCACATGAACTCACAAACTGGGTGATGTGGCCATGCGGATCCTTTGAAGGTAGACCACTGAATGTGGCATTCTGGACCAGTCTTATGACCGAGGGCTTGATATCAAAGTTATTGGCCTCTACCAGTGGAATGTATATAGAATTATGCATACTGAATTCCAGGGTCATGAAATCCACTATGGTTCTTCTTTCCTTTCTTCTAAACCCCCGGTAGTTTTCCCTTGGTAAATTCATCATCCTCAGTTCATAATAATCATCCCTCGGTACCTCTCTTCCTCGAGGCTCAAAGTAATTTTCCCTTGTTGCATTTCTCCTTCATGGCTCAAATTGGTCTTCCCTTTCATAATATTCAATTCTGTCATCGGGGTGCTCATAATAGGGATCCCTCTCTTGATACTGTCCAAGATTGGGTAGTGGTCTTTCCTGCTGATTCCTATCTCCTGGTCGAGGAAGTTCCTCGTTTTCATCCACCTCTCTTAGTGGTGACCTGTTTCTGAGGTTCACTCAGGCCAGCACTTCTCAATGTCTCAGCTGTGACCCCATCTAGACGTTCACA